TTTAAAATATATTTAAATAAAATTTTATAAAATTTAATGATTTTTTTCTTTAATTATAAGATTAAATATAAAATTAAAAAATTTCAAAAAATTATGAATCATATTGTATATATATATTTTTTATAGTTAAACATTTTTGTCACATTGTAATATAAGCAAAAAGATATCTGATAATAAGTAACTTATATAAATAATCAATAATATTCCTATTGCTTCTTTCAAATAGTTGAATTGATTGATATAGTGGCTTAAAACCAGTAATAAAATTTTTATCCCCTAGATAAGTTTATTTAAAAACAATATCAAATTAATAATTATAATTTTTTGATTAGCTATTAGTTTTTATTTAATTCTATATTAACAAAAAACTAAAATCAGTTTACCCTTATTATAAGATTTACAATTTACAAAATATAAATTATATTTCATATTACTATATTATATTAAAATAATATAAAAACTTATTAAATTGAAAAAGTATATAATCAGTATTCTATACAGATTTTGATATCTTTATTAATAAATAAAATTATTATAAAAATATAAATTGTTTTATATTTTATATAAACTTGAAACTATTTTATATTAATAAAAAACTTTAATATTATTCTTAATAATATTATCAATTATATGTAACTTATATAATATTATTATTTGATTGGATTTATCAATATACATATCCAAGAATTACATATAATTAAAACATTATTACAATTATATTTATCAATTCTATACTTTTATTGAAACTTTTTTAAATGGTAATTCTGTTCAAAGTATTATTTTTATTTTTATTTTTTTATGATAAATAGTTTCTCAAGTTTTTTTTATCTTAAGAATTTTTTAAATAATAGATTAATATCTATAATAATATATTTTATATTTTAATATTAATTTTATAGCTAGTTGATTCTTTACTATATTAATAAAGATAATAAGTAATATTTTACTTTAATATTAAAAAAAAAAAATTAATTTACTATTTCAAGATTAAGATTTTAATATTTGGTTTTAAAAAAGAATAATGCTTTTATTTTTTATAATTATATATAAAAAGTTGGATTTTAAAAAATCTTAAATAATTAATAATACAATAATAATTTAATAAATTTATTTTTTTGTAATAAGATAGCTAGTAAATAGTTAAATTACATATATAGGTAATATTCTTAAATATTTTGAGAATCTTTAAAAATATTTTTTTAATTAATTTTTTTTTTTATAAAAAAGTTTTTGTCATAAATTTGTAAATAGATTTTTCATATTTAATTATAAAAATAAACAAAAAAAAAGTAAGAACAAGTTATAGCTGTTGCTTAATATGCTAATTGAAAAATAATTTAAAATAAATATTATAATAGTTAACAATAATTTTGATTTTTTAATGATTTTTTAAAATTATTACAACATATACAGTATTTCGAAATTAGAAATGTTTTAATAACCATATTATATACTGCATATAAATTTATTTAATCACAATAATTATAAAACTTTTTTATGAAATTTTTTAAGTAATTGAAGATCTCGTATTGACAGGTTAAAACATAATTTGCTATGCCTAAAGAATCTTAATTAATTAATTATTATTATTTTTAACCAATTTTTAGTTAAAAAAAATTACATCATCTATTGTATATGATTTTGAAGAATTATCGTAATTTTTGTATTTTTAGTAAACATTGTACAATTAATTATTTGAATGATCTTATATTAATAATGTCCGACCGACTCTCAAGATATTCTAAGGCCGAATCTAAAAATTTTTACAATTTTTTGTTTTAGAAATGAAATTAGAACATAAACGAAAATAATATACAATAGCTTGTGAAAAACAATATTAACTTTGATCATCCCACACACACATTATGTTTTATCATAAAAATAACTGGGCATTTCTTCCGTGATAACTATTTGCGATGTACGTAAATGCGATCGAAACTGGATTTTAGCTTTATGTACACAATAACAGCCAAGATTCTGATAAATATTTATGACGAAAGCGAAGTAATTGGCGTTTTCGAAACGTCATATGCTTTAATCATTGAGAAAAATGGCGTTTTCATACGGTTCAAATTAGAAAGTTAACGTAAATTGGCACTTTCTTTAACGTCATTTGATTGAGAACGGACGTCTAACTGTGCGTAGGTCGCCCACGTACAATACACTCCTTGTTTTCTTCAAATGGTAAATGGGTTTGTTTATTAGTTACACTGAAAAAGGAAGAAATTTTGAGAGACTGTTACTTAATAAGCAAATTCACTCAATTTAGCGTGAGCTTAATTTTTATGTGATACGATTTACAAATTCCTTTGTTTCAAATAGGAAGTTAATAATAAGAAGAAGAGAAGTCACGGGAATAGTATCCAATCATTACGCACTTCTGGCAACGAACAAGGATCTGTTGTTTCGATACCTTGTTACAACACTTGCTACATCGTTTTCTTTGTTTCTGTCCAGCGATCAAATTTTAAATGTTTGTGGTAAATCTTCGATTAACAAAATTATTCCTACCAACCCAAGAGTTTTGGTGACCGTCGAATAAGAAATGGTAATGTCGCAATATACGACCATTATTTGTTTTTTTTTAAAGGAATGTTAGTTAATTATCATTGTCTATTTTTTCTTTAATGATAAACAGTGTGAACAAAGAAATCTGTGGAACAAATAAATTTCTTGGAAAGAAAAATAAAGTTACGTTACATCGAATGATCTCATTGGTGATGTTCTCAGGGAAACAAGCAGATCTAATTCTCATATAACTTATTTTAATTCCTTGTGATTCGTTCGCACGCTTTGTGTTTTTGTGCATGATTGATCAATCGATGATCCTTTTTTTTTTAAAAAAAAAAAAGAAAATCATTAGCATGAATAATCCGAAAATATTTTACAAATTTCTATGTATTGAATTACTCCAAGATGCTATGTTATATCTTCTCGTGAAGAATCAATTGAACAAATTGCATATATTGGACAGAATACACATCAATTGAGAATAACGCTCATACGGATGGTACCAATTAGGAGTAAAAATCGCTTCAGAAATATTCTCGAGGTACGTTAATGAATCCGTTACACGGTCTCTAATTACCGGCAAATCTAAGGAACTTTGTTTATAGCCTTAAGTCAAATTTTGAATGAACAAAGAATACGTAACCTTGTACTCCTAACGTATTTCCCAAATTGGTCGAACAGCTTTTCATGTATCACAATCTACGAGGATCATCATCATCCGCTCACAAGTACAAATAGGCGGTGTTTCTCCTCACAACTTCTAAAATCAAAAAAAAAAGAATCAATAATAATCTCATCAAACAAATAAAAAAAAAATACATTTTATTTATCAAACGCCAAAAAAAAAATGTCTTCCACCACCGATAAAAAAGCTCTTATCTGCGACGCTCTTAAAACACTTGCCGCCAGTAGTGAAGAGTCCAAAAACGACTTTTTCTCAAACGACTCTGGTGAAGATTACTTCGCTCCGGATTCTTTCTCCCAATTCTTTGGAGCTGAAATTTCTGAAGAAGAACTTGAAAAGGCAATTGAAAGCCTACAAGCAGAAATAAAGAAGTCTGGAAAATCAAATAAGAAAAATCCGCCTTCGGAAGACGACTCCGATGACTCTTTGACCTCCTCTTCCGATGAGGAAGGAGTGATGCACAAAGTCAAGAAGATGTTAAATTTCAACTAAATAGACTATATATATTCACATTTCCTTTGCATTTTTTAAATAGTTAATCATCCTTGCATATTTACATTTCAACATGTATTTTTCATACTAGCATTTCTTTCACGTTTAACTATTTCACTGTAAAATTTTCATATATATTTTCATATCAATGATAGAATTTTGAATTGTGGTATTTTTTTTTTTCACATAGCTCACGCGCAAGTGACTTTTTTGTTATTGTACACAACCACAGAAATAGAGAGGTTTACTACACCCACTGTACACAACTTTCCAAATAAATATATTATATTATTACATCATACACTAACCTGCGTGCATTGCATCTAATTGAATGTTCCACCTGACCGCGATTTAAAAAGCGGAATCAATGAGTGTTTGAATATAATCATTATTGACAAAACTGAACTCAATGAATATAAATATTTCAGTATCTGATTGTTACTCAATAAGGTTACGTACTCAAATTAGGTGACGTGTCAAAAATTAGGTGACGTAATTCAAAAGTAGGTAACGTCTCAAAAGTATTCATAGTAGGTGACGTATTCAAGTTAGGCGACGCAACGTATCAAGAATTCTCGAAACGTCTTTAGTGAAATCAAAAAAGTTATAAAAGTAGCAAGGGGAAACTAACGGATTAAAAAACATAGTTATTCGGTTTGCACAAGATGGCAACTATCAAAGTAACCTACGAATCTATCACTCGTCGATTTACCATCCCGCCCAACATTACCTGGTCTAATCTAGTCTCTCAACTCCATAATCTATTCCAAATTCCTAGCATTGCCCCAATTAATGTTTCCTATACCGATGAGGATGGTGATGTAATTAGTGTTTCGACCGATTTGGAACTCCAGGAAGTTCTCTCTTTGCATTCAGCCGGTAAAATCGTCAGACTTTTGATTACTACCAAGGTTTCTCCAAATATTCTCGGTGAAATTGGTAAAACAACGGAGGTCCTTGAGCAATTGAGTATTGATGAAAACAAAATTCTTAACGATGATGACCACTTGAAAGACTCGGAGGAGGAGATGAAACCCGGTGACAAATCCCCCCCTGTTAATGCTGATGAGAATGAAGATGACGGAACTGCTATTGTCGTCATAAGAATCCCTCGCCCTTGGTGCAGAATACCTTTCTGCGATCGACGTCGTTTTAGATACAGTAATCCGAACTTTTATCAACCCTACATGGTTAATCGTCCACGTTGTAATGACCAGTCATCGTCACATGAATATTATCGACGAAGGCAAAATATTTCATCTGAACGGTTGTCAGAAAATATAAAAACATTAAATTCCATGGGATTCCCTTACGATGACAAAAAGTATGGACAGCTGTTGAAACGATATAATGGACGTGTTGATCGTGTTGTTGATATTTTACTTGGGGAACAGTGTAATGATGAATCAAGTGAAAAGCGACTGGAAGTATCCAATGAAGTGCCATCCGGATCATCAGCTTCAGCTATGATGGAAGTTGACGCAGAAAAAAGTGAGGAAAGGCCTTAGACGCTTGATAAATGAATTAAATGATTCTACATAAAATAATAATAACAAAGCGTTTACAAGGAGTTAAAAGAATACGGTGGAAAATAGATATGAGTTGATTTTTTACTTTTTTATTTATTTTGTTTATTTATTTATTTCATTTACTTGGATTTAAAGCTTGTTCAAGATTGTTGGTTGGATTAGAAGTAATACTTAAAAAATTCTATAATGCAATAAATATACTCGCAAAAATAAAATAAAATAATTTCACGTTAGTTTCCCCTTGCTACTTTTATAACTTTTTTGATTTC